TAACTTGATGATTTTTTATATTATTTTTAAATGATACTTTCGTTGGAAATATTCGCAATCATAATGATTGTACACGTCGCGTTTTGCAACAGAGAATAAAATTTCCTCATTTTCTTGATGCCTCGCACTGCGAACATCCGCACGCAGCCTATATGTAGAGGCCAGATCACAGGCCTGTAGGTGACTTCTGCAGTTGTCAACAGCAACAGACTGGGTTCAAGATTGATGGGTTTACGGATTCAGTTACGTATTTGTGATCTCGTAGAAGTTCGGGAGGGCGGATCTTGTGTCTTGTGTTTGGTGTTACATCGAAGCACTCCGTACTTAGAAGTGCCGGCAGTCGGACAACTTCCCGTTGCTGTAAACTTCAGTGCCGGTACCGGTAGGTCTTTAAGAAGCACAGCCGATCCCGGTTGTCATGGATTTGCATCGTGGCTGATGGCAGTCCGACCGCAGAAGGCACGCCAAACACAGCAGGATCGATTGATAGGGTTCAGGTAGGTTGGTTCTTGATTTCCGATGTGAGGACAGGAAATTCGAGTCACCCGGGTTGTCACGAAACCCTATGCCAGAAGTGCTCTGCTTTCACATATCCGTAGCTTGAGTTTTTCAAACATCCTTGCGTTCCTAGGATGTCCGACTACAATCCTGCCGCAATACGATGAAAAGTGTTTGGGCTGTTGTAGGCACATCTACTGTGAACTGCCATTGCAGGTGCACACGTGCGCTTATGGATTCGTCTTGGCGAGCGTGCTGGCTGTCGCACTTCTCAGGCAAGCTCGGAAGCAGGGTGGTAGCAAGTCATGGCCATACTTACGACAAAGAAGGTGGTGTTAGTTGTGTTGGGTCTTGGTGATACTGCGGCTACCGTTGCCACTGCTGCTTCTGCTGCTGCTGCTGGTGGTGGTGGTGCTGCTGCTGCTGCTGCCGCTGCTGCTGCTACTGCTACTACCGCTGCTCCGCTACTACAACTGTAGCCACAATTTCTCTCCTCCTCCTCCTCCTGCTGCCACTGTTACTGCTACAGCAACTGCCACTGCTACTGCTATCGCTACTGAAACCGCTGCTGCTACTGCCACTGCAACTGTAACTGCTACTATTGCGACTGATACTCTGCTTCAGCTACTGCTACTGCTAGTGCTACTGCTGCTGCTCATGCTACTGCTATTATATATAACTGTTACTGCTAGTGCTACCACCACCACCACCACCGCCGCCGCCGCCGCGGCGCCGCTGACGATGACGACTACTTCTGCTACTGCCACCAGTGCCATTAGCGCTGCTGCTGTAGCTGCAGTAGCAGTAGCCGAAGAAGCAATAGCAGCAGCAGTAGCAGCAGTGGCAGCAGAAGTAGCAGTAGGAGTAGTGACAGCCGTCGTCGTCGCCGCCGTCGTCGTAGTCGTAGTCGTAGTCGTAGTAGGAGTAGGAGTAGGAGAGGGAGTAGGAGTAGGAGTTGGAGCAGGAGTACGAGGAAGAAGTACGAGGAGTAGGAGTACGAGGAGGAGGAGGTGGAGGAGGTGGAGGAAGAGTACGAGGAGGAGGAGTACGAGGAGCAGGAGTAGGAGGAGGAGGAGGAGGTTGAGGAGAAGGACGAGGAGTTCGAGGAGGACGAGGAGCACGAGGATGAGGAGGACGAGGAGGACGAGGAGGACGGCAAGGAGGAGAAGTGGCAGTCGTGGAACTACGGGAAGTATAGAACTGTAATGTACGACCGGTGGTCGTAGTGGTGGTAACTGTGGTTTGGTGCCTACTGTAGTAACATTGTAGTAGTTGCAGTAGTCTTATCAGTAACAGCAGCAGTCGCCAGTTATTGTTTTTGTTGCTGCTGGTTGCTGGTTGCTGCCACTGCAATTGGTAACTGTCGTAGTTGTCGCCCTTGATGGTGATGACTGCAGGCGGTGGAAGTAGAAGCATCAGGTCAAAGGAGTGTTAAGGGTACTGAGGAGAGGCAGGGCCAGCCGCTGACCGGAGCAATCTTGCCAACACTAGTGTTTCCAATGCCACTAACAAGAGCAACAAGAGCACGTCGTAGCAGTGGAACCCACTAAACGGCAAAGGGAGCTTCAGGGGAAGGAGTGGAAGTGGTCATATCATCGCCGTGTCGTTGTCATCCTCGTCGTCATCGTGTTGGATCATAGCAACAGCAGATGGGTGAGCAGCAAGGCAACAGAAGAAGTGCTGGTAGCGGGATAGCCGCGGACCCATTGCGAACAAGTTCGTGAATGATGTTGGCACGAGAACCCCGGTTAGCCAACGTCGTGACAAGGAGCTGGTGTTTGTTGTTGCTGCACTGGCAAGCCTAGGCAAGCCTAGTTGCCTAGTGCTTCGGCTCTGTGGTTTCCAGGTTCCTCCCTGCGAGTCAATCTCACCATGCAGAGGCAGTGGGAGCACTATAAAGCTGGTCTGTAGCCTGGAGCGGTCTTGAGAGGGCTTAGAGCAGCTTTTCTGGGGGAAGGCTTCGCAAGTGCTGAGTTGGCAGGGAACGGAGGCTCCCGACCTTGGCAATGTGACGTGGAGAGTACGTCAGCTGGGCCGGGCTCCTGAGAGAGAGAGGGAGAGAGAGGGGGAAAGAAAGAAGACAGAGATACAAACAGAGGGAGAGGGGAAGAGAGAAAGATAAATATGTCTGTAAGGTGGGAGGGAGGGAAGGAATGGGCACAGAAGGCAAGCCATTGCAAAACACACAGTTCACTATGGTGAGCAGAGCTCGCCTGGAATGCTTGTGGAATGCTCGCACGACAGGCCGCTGAGTGTTGGCTCGCGTTGTTCGTGCATGTCGAGTCAAGACTCTGTCCGAGGTCATGCTTTCACCAAATTACAATCTCCGACTTTTTTCCCAGATTCTTGGAGGCAATAGTGCGGCTTCAGCAGGTGTCCTGCAGAACCCAACGAAAAAAGTGGATGCAATCCAGAGCTTTAGCCATCCGGGCGAGCTACCTACTCAAGTCTTCAAGCTTCAGGACCTAAATGCCTTCAATCCCAAACCCCTAACCAACAGCCTCGGCCGACCCAAAGGACGACGTTCATGCAGAGCAGAGCGTCCGTTTCACTCCGTCAATGTACCGCAGCTTGCTGGCACGTGACATTTCGCCGGGTTTCGGTTTCGGTCTCTCCGCAGGGGTTGCAGGTTGCTGAAATCCACAGATGTCGTTATCCTAACAGTATATCACCGCCGAGAAGCAGAAAATCCAATGGATCGAAAGCTCGCAGCTAGGCGTGTGTTCGACTTGGTTGGCTTGGATGTGTGTAGTCATTTGGTGCCAAGTGGTTGATGGTGCATAGACCTTCACCCTGCTGGAGGTGATCCTGAAATTGGATCAGCTTTCACATCTGCCAACACGGCAGATGCACATCGGCCAGCAGGACAGGGCCCTCTGGAATGCTGGTGTTCGGACACATTGCAGTTGTCGCAGCAGCCCTGGAGCCCGAATCCAGATGACTCCGTGTAAAGTTCCATGTGCCTGCCGGCATGTGGTGTCACAGTAATGTATGCAAAGTCATGACAATGCTATCTTACACAAGTCCCAGCACATAAAATTGTACGAAGATACCCGGAAACTGCTAGTCGAGGGTTGCTCAATCTGTGATACTGTAGCATGATTTGTTCATGCTCTGACATTTCTATGAACCTTCATCAAGTAATTTTCTCAGTCAATGCTTTGTTTATCTCTTACACTCTCTCTCTCTCTCTCTCT